CGCTGATAATATCCAGCCAAACCCATGAAAGAGCGTACATCCGTTGTGCAACGGGGTTCCGGCCAATCCACGATGGCTTGGATCTTGTCCGCTAAGGGACGAATGCCTTTCGGCGTGACAAAATGACCCAAGTACTCAAGCTCTTGCTTGGCGAATTCGCACTTGTCGAGATTCGCTTTGTACTTGGCTAGTCGCAAACGATCCAGAACAACGTGAAGGTGTACGATGTGCTCGTCCAACGTCCTATTGTAAACCAAGATGTCATCAAGGTAGATGAGGACGCTGCGATCGAGCAAGTCGCGAAACTCAGTCGTCATCGCTGCTTGGAAAGTCGCGGGGGCATTGGTGAGGCCAAAGGGCATGACAACCCACTCAAAATGCCCGTACCGCGTCTTGAACGCGGTCTTGTATCGATCTTGAGGTTGGATTTCAATCTGGTGGTAGCCTGACTTCAAGTCCAACTTTGAGAAGTACGTCGCGCCGCCTAACCGCTCAAGGAGATCATCAATCCGAGGGAGAGGGCCGACGTTCTTTACGGTTTGTGCGTTAAGTTTGTGATAGTCGATGCATAATCGTAGATCTTTGTTCTTCTTCCGGACGAAGAGAACAGGTGCACCGTATGGCGAGCAACTAGGGTGAATCCAGCCCTTGTCGAGAAGGTCATCGAGTTGTGCGCGAAGCACCTCGAGTTCCTCTTCGCTCATGCGGTAGATACATCCACGCGGAGGGACAGCCCCAGCCTCGAGAGTGATCCCGTGACGTATGGGCCGATCCGGAACCGTTCCGGTGGGAGCCTCGTAGACGTCTCTATACTCGTCCAAGAGGTGAGAAATGCGTGGGTCCGGCGGTGACGTGGCTGGTCCGTCCGGCGAGGGGAGAGCATGCAAGAATACAAGGCCCATCTCCTCGACGTCATTCTGAGCCATGGCTTCGCCAATTCTTGCAACGGAAACCACGTGACAAGCAATCGAAGTGTGAGGGGTCGCGACCGTACATGGGACTAACACTCCGTTCCGATCACGGATGTGAACGGTTCGGTCATGAAAGTTCACCGGATGATCGGCGCTACGCAACCAAGACATGCCTAGAATCAAGTCGAACTTGGTGTCGAGGATGTCAAAAGACACCGGCTCGCACGCAAGTGGCGCAAAGTATACCGGAACGCCGTCAACGCATCGGTCAATCGACTTTTGCGTGCGGCCGTCCGCGAGTGTAACTTGCATGGGTTGCGTCTTCCTTCGAACGCGCGGGCCAAGACCTGCGCGGGCCATAAAGGCTTGGCTCATAAAGTTGCGAGATGCTCCGCAATCAATCAAGGCACTACAGGTTGCCTTTCCGATTTGAATGCGGATATAGAGCAAAGGAGCGTCGGTCTCGGCGTACCTTTGGGTGGCGTACTCGCGGTCAATCTTCGCAAGATAGGAGCGGAGATCGACAACCGCTACCCCGTCGTCCGTCAACGGAGCTGGTATTGTAGTGTGCAAATAGGAGCGTAAATCTCCCATCAAGGCGTTGCAATGCGGCCTTGGCAAGGTTCCGGTCGAGGGTAGAGGCATCCAAGCGAAGTCCTCTCTCGTGAGCGGGTCAAGCTCCTCAAGTCTTGACCACGCCGTCGAGTCCTTGGAAATCAGTGGCGAACAGACCGGATCACTTGCCGACGGTGTACAGGCTGCGCCTACGCTAGCTAAATGCACGTGGCTTGGCTGGTCTAATGGTGGTACCAGCTGGGCGGCATAATCCCCGTACGTAGCACGAGAACCAGCGACTAACGCATGCTCCCCGGTAGTGACATCGATTGCTAGCAAGGCAACCGGATCCGGTGGAGTGGGGAGAGACGTCGCTCCTCTCCTTGCGTAACTCAGTTTCCCGAGTTTGCTGAATGGAGTACGTGTGCCTTGCCCTTTTCGGGGCATTGTGCATCAAGTGTGTGACTCCATTGCACCAAAGGCAATATCTCTACTTTTGACGAAGTTCATAGACTTCCTTGGTGATGTTGTAGGCCGTCCATGGCTGCTGCCCAGTTCCCGTCCATGTCGTCTCTTGTGTCGCCTTGTTCTTCCGAACTCTCTTGGGACGCTTCGGCGGGAGCGCTGCTACAGGTCCTCCATCACTCGAGGATGCTGCTGCAGCGTGGAGATCGTCTGTTTCTTCAGAAATCACGRCATTGTTATGTGCCGGACGTTGATAGCCCTGCTTGGCCACATAATGCGGCTGGGATTGTTTCTCGTTAGCGGCCTTGTTGTCCGTTTGGATGACCAGGTTTGCGCGATCCAGGATAGCCTGGAACGAGGTATAGTCGTACTCGTTACCGAGTGCCGACCGCAATCCTGCGCACGATCGCGAGAAGAACTCGGACYGTTGATTTGGAAAGCTCAAATCGAAGCCTGGCGTGGTCACTATCTTCTGCCACTTGGTTGTCCAGTCTCGAGTTGGCATACTCCCTTGAGAGCAGGTGCACACCTCGTTCATGGMCGCCTTCACGACGTTGCGGACCATGAACCGGGTGAACCATAGCTTCTCAAAATCCTTCCACGTGATGTGCGTGTGAAGTTCGGCGATGGTGCATGTGTGGGTAGCCGCCAGATGGTTCATCCATGCCTGCGCTCCTCCAATCAGCTGTAAGTATAACGCCTTCATTAAATAGTCGTTTGGGACAGTGCGACATGATGCTTCCGTGAGGAAACGTTGCCACCATGCCAAAGCGTTCGTCGTGTTGTGGTCGTCGAACTTGCTGATGTCGAAGTGCGGCATCTTGTAATTCTTTGTAGTGGCGTCCGGTTTCGTCTGCAGCTTGGTGATGTCCGTCTTGATGGCGGCCACCGTGCTACTGATCGTGTCCGGCCCATTGAAAACACCTATGTCGCCGATGAGATTGACGACATGATCGATGCGCCCATTGAGCTGCTTCGTCGTGTCTGTCATATCTGGCGTGCAGCCTGGCGCTGCTTGGGGAGGCCTTGCCTCCAAGGTAGCAATGCGTGCATCCAGCTGTTTCAGCTGGTTGTCTGCGACCTTGACAGCTGCTGCAAGTATCTTCACGTTGTGGCTCAGATCGTGCTGCAGCTGCAGTGTGGACCGGGAATGCAGCTCCCCCATGGAGCTGTTCCAAATGACGGCGCGCATTGTATGGAGTAGAATATCTGCCAGGTCGTGCCTCTCTTGCTGTACTGGTGTCGGCTCGCTGCCGGGTACTGGGACATAATGCATCCCGTTGAGCACCGCTGTCCATTGTGCTTGGTTAGCACTTACAAGTTCAGCGCTGCTGGCGTTGAGCTGATCGATCGCCAACTGGTCTGCCTCGGCTTGATGCCGGGTTTGTGCTGCAGCTTCCTCTGCTAGCCGTAGTCTTTCGGCTGCGGCAGCCTCTTGCTGTTCCTTGACCTGGGTGAGTGTGGCGGTATAGTCCTGCATTCTCTGAATGAAGTCCGGGAGGGGCTCATTCGACCCTTGCACCGGACAGACCGGTAAGGGTTCGGCATTACTAGCTGTCGAACCCTCGGATGATGATCCGCTGTGTGGCATGTTCGCCATCTGGTCTGTGGCGGTTGTGGAACTGGAGGTTGCTGTCGCTGTTGGAGATCGGCGATCCTCTTGCTGCGTCGTGGCTGCTGTTCGGAGGCTGGCCCTGCTGGCATCAGAAACTGTTGCTGAAGACTGGCTCGTCCGAAGGATCACAGAACAGTGTGAGGGAGAGAGTGGGCACAGGGATAGAACAGATCAAGCAATATTCATACAGTCCCTGTCCCAAGGGTGGACTAGGACACCTAATCAAACGGAAAAAAAATACATTTTCCCGTAAACAATTCAAGAAATTCGTAATAAGAAGAATAATAACGAATTATTTAATCAATAAATTTAATTAATGATTAATACGAAAGAATAATTGTTAAGGATAATCAATAAACAATCTTTGCAATAATGATTTATTAACGATAATCAATTAAAACAATTATGATTTATTAACGATAATCAATTAAAACAATCTTTGCAATAATGATCATGAGCGAATTTGAATTGTTATCAAGATCAGGTATCCATTGAGATCATCTTTGAGTCCGGGAGTTCACCGTTGATTAGTGAACTACCCGGAAGCTGCAATGCTGAGGGTCAGAGTCGGATTAGTTTGCCAAAAAAAAAAATTCGGACCAAAATCAGGAGAAAAACACTCGAATTTCGAAAAAACGTGAATTTTTGGGAATTTCCACCGTTAAAATCCGATTTTTAAAGGCCTAAACCTGTTTCCGGAATTTCTCAAACAAGGGGAACGAAAAAAAAAATTTGCGAAAATTTCGGTCCCAACCCTAATTTTCCGCGTTTCGGCGGAATTTCCGAATTTACGGTCCCAAAACGTTCGAATTTCCCCAAGTTGATCTAAAACCMAAAGATTTTCGTAACCCTAATTTCCAATACTGAAAGACAACGGAAATCCAAAAGAAAACGAAATATAGGATTTACAACAGAATGCCGAAAAACGGAATGCTGAATGGAAAGCAGAAAAGCCGAATTTCAACATGATACTGATTCAACCCTAATACGTGTAAAATCAGAAATCCGAATCTTAACCAATTATCGGATTAGTATCACTCAATCGGAACCCAAATAAACAGCATACCGGAAGAAAACAGAAATCCGAATTATAAGTCCGAATACCGAATTGAAACGGAAATGCCGAAATAAATAGAATACCGAAAAAGAAAAAGATTTTGCAACTTTGAACTCGATAGTAATTCAGAGCTGATTCGGATGATTGAAACAACAATCTACTTCCTAATCAGACTTACCTGGTGAGCAGATCCGTGAAATGGTCTGCTCCGATACCAAAACTGTTACATACTTCAATGAGTATGGGCAGAACCAAAGATCAACCAATGTAGGATGAGCATATATGCAGCGGAAGTCTGATAACGAACTGACTCACATAGACCGACTCAGATAGACTGACTCATATAGAATCACTCCACACACATACAATCGTGAGATGGTGGGGTCTGGGCCAAGCATGGACGATGCCCAGATCCCGTACACACATACACAGATGAAAGGTGGGAGGAGAGACGAAGGAGGTGGGGGAGGTAGACAGCACCGATAGGTCACCGAGATAGAATCCGATAGGTCACCGATATGGTAGTCCAAAATGTCATCCAACAAGATCAAAATGTCGAGGACAATCAGTCACCAATGTCGGAGATACAGAGTCCAAATGTAACCGGTGTCCGAACTGTGATGCCGCCAAGTATCAACCCCAACAATCTCCAAGTCTCCAATCCGGTAGGTACCACAGTCTCATACCACCGAAGTCCAACACTGATCTCTGTCCAACTAGTATAAGTCTCCAATCTGAAGAAGAAGAAGAAGAAGAAGAAGAAGAAGATGGGAGCCGAGGAGGAGAGAGAGAGAGAGAGGGGACTGGTGAGGGGAGGGAGGAGAGAGGCCTCCAACTCCCGATACCTCAGGCGGCTATGGCCGCCAGTACAGTCAGTCGCCGCTGCTGCTGCTCGCTCGCTGCTGCTGCGCTAATGCTGCACTGCTGCTCCTCGCTGCTCCTGCGCTAAACTTAGCGCCAGCGCTGTATCGCGCTGTACCATACCGTACCGGTAGAATGCCGGTAGGTCGATAGCCTCAATGAGGCTGGACCGGTACTTTTGTACCGGTGGGGCAGAGGCCGGCCTCAATGCTGCGAGGCCTGGCCGTGCCCTGAACCGTCAAGATGGACGGTTCAGCCCCAATGGGCGGGCGGCAGCCTCAAGAGCGCCGCCAGGCCCAAACGGTAATGTCGTTTGGGCCTGCCCGTTGGGTCTGGTCCAAAGTAAGGCCTTTACGGCCTGTAGTACCCCAAGGTCAGGCCTTTAGGCCCTAATGTGTCCCTCTAACCCTTAGTCGGGTCCGGTAGGACCCGTGTGGCGTCGAAGATGTAACACCTGCTCAAGTGGACGCTTGAGATAGCACACCTCCTACAGATACACCCACAATCTTTAGTCGTCATAAGTATCATCTACTGATTAAAGTCTATGAAGCTAGTTATACTGGAACTTTCTAGACATAATTGCGGTCAGATACATCCAAGACTGGATGTAATTGCTGTCAGACACATCCAGGGCTGGCTGCAATTGGGGTCAGATACATCCAGGAAAAGTCCTGATGTGAGAGTCTATACTCTCATTGTCAAAGGAGAGTCTATCACAATCTTTATCTATTCCGTGGACAATACTGGGACGTCCCAATCCCAGCATTGTCTTCCTCCCCCCCCCCCCCCCCCCCCCTAATGATCCAGACGGATGATCCGCACAGTTAATCCAGCTGGAAATGTCGTGCTTCCTAGCTCATTTGGACCATTGCTCAATTTATGAACAGGCCGGATGATCCGACCTATTTATGAAATGGACGGATGAACCGGCCGGATGATCCGAACCGTTAATCCACCCGGAAATGTCCTGCTACCAGGATGTCCGGCTAATCTGGATTTGGACCGTTGCTTGATATATGTCGTCGAACAGAGCCGCTGCCCTGTAAACCGGTAGAGCGTAGGGGCAGAGAGGGAGGGAGAGAAGAGGACAACAAACGAGGGGGGCTGTGACAAACTGTTTCGTCGTGTCAACCTTGCGCATGGGGCCATGGCAGTCTTGTCTAGGTTCTCTGTATCGTTCCAATTTTAACGGATGTCCCAAACGACAAACAATCCCAGTGACATCAACCTAGGGCATAATAGTAGGGCTATTCACATGCGGGACTTCCACTGTGTGTATGTGACACACATTATTACCAGGCGCATTACAAAATGTGGATCTGTGTTACAACAAAGCTAGGCTACGAAAGTCGCCGGGGGCCGGGCAGGCCGCCGAGATTTGTCCAGGTCGCCCGGACGACTGATTTTCGGACCTTTTTTTTCTTTTTTTTTTCCCTGGAGGCTGGTCTTGTTTGCGCTTCTCAAGAGCTGTCCAAATCCGCTGTTTTTGTTTTTGTGTGTGTTCGACTTTTTGGAAGGGGGGTGGGGGGTTGTGGTGCTATGCTGCACTGTGGGGGGGTGTTATGCTTCAAGCCTCAAGGACGCCACGTGGCCCGCTCTCGGATGAATAAAGTTCAAGGACGAGGAGAAGGAGGAGGAAGAGGAGGACATGGAAGAAAGGAGGAGGAGGAGCTATAGGAAGTAAAGGGGAGGAGGAGGACGACAAGGAGAAGAAGTAAGAAGAAACGAGGAGGAGGATGAGGAGGAGAGGGAAGAGGAGGAAGAAAGCAGGAGGAGGAGGAGGAGGAGAAGGACGAAGAAAACAGCAGGAGGAGGAGGAGGAACAAGTCCTCCCAAGAAACCAAGGTCTAGTGATGGTGTGTGACGCGGCGACGCGAGGAAGAAAGGAGGAGGAAGAGGAGGAGGAAGAGGAGGAGGAAGAGGAGGAGGAGGAGGAGGAGGAGGATGGGGAGGTGGAAGAGGAGGATGAAGAAAGGAGTTCATTAACCGCATCACGAACTCCTTTCTTCCTCCTCCTCCTCCTCCAAGTCCTCCTCCGTCCAGATCCTCCTCCTCCTCCTCGCCCTCCTCGTCCTTTCTTCGTTCTGTTGCCACGTGACACACTATCACCCATGAGGAGGAAGAAAGCATGCGGATGAAGGATGAGGAGTAAGAAATGAGGAGGTGGAGGAGCCCAACGGAGGAGGAGGGGGAGGGGGGGTTCTGGGGACTCACCTTCAGGCATGGCGAGCACGAACGGTAGGCGCAGCCACGACGAGCAGTCCAGGATGACACACAGGGGGGCACAGCGACAACGACAACGACGACGACGAGCACTTGGCGACGGCCGCGGGAGGGCGCGCGGGGGCTATCGAGAGGAGGGGTGGTGGAATGCTGCCTCAGCGCAGCGTTGCAATTCGAACAGCGGGGCGAAGTTCGAATTCGAACCCCGGGTGAACGAGGTCTGTTGATCTTCGGCGATCGATGGCGCAAATTAGATCGCAAAAAAAACAGGGGCCGGCTGGGCCCCAATTTTTTTTTTCTCCCCGGTAGGGAATCTGACCCATGTTCTGTGCCAGGGGGCGAAAAAGAACGGAAAATGTCCCGCCTGCTATTTTGCGCTGGAGTGCTCGGCGGTTGGACCAGGCGGGCCACCCGACCGGGCTTTCCGGACGGGTTCCGGGCGAAGGAGGGGGTACCCGATCCACACGGGAAGTAGCCTTGCCACAAAGAGATTCTTTTGGAATAAAGACATGAAAAATAAAAGTTCTTGTAAGAATGTAGGCAATTGCACGTGTTGAAAATCTGACGATGTATGGTGTTCGTAGCGAAAACTTCATTGTTTCTCTGCCATCACTCTGCCGCTCCCCGTTAAAAAAAAAAAAAAAAAAGAAAAAAAAAAAGAAAGAGGAATCTCTCAACCATCAATCAATGTGGTAAGCAAATGCTCTACATTTAACTCAGTGCTTCTTCTTCTTCTTCTTCTTTATTAAATTATTTCCAAATTTTATTTTTTCGACAGGTCCTGGCTTCATGTCCATTCTGAGGAGCACCAGTGTTTCAGTTGCAACTCTTGTGGCAATTGGCGTTTGATAATCTCTCTGTAGTCTTGTTACTTAGTGCACAGACCGCGGTCTGCTCTTGGCCGTGCACAGACTGCGGTCTGCTCTTTGCCGTGCACAGACCGTAGTCTGCTCTTTGCCACTGTCTGTAGTTTCATTACTTAGTGCAGAGATTCCGGTCTGCTCCACGTGTCACCACCTCTTTTTTCTGTAGTACCGTATAACACTCAGTGCAGAGAGTGCGGTGTGCTCTCTAGCCTGGACATTGACTCCCCCTCAAGTGGTCACATGCATCTCAATCCTCATTAGCAGAGTCGTGTTCGATTCGATGGATATAAGATGAATCGCTAATCTCATGGTTATCGTTCGTTTGGCTTTTCATCTCTGGGCATTGATACTGGCCGCAGGAGCGTCATGTCTGGAAACATGCGAGGGTTTCCCGTCCTGAAAGCCTGCGCATATACGAATGCCATGTTGGTATTTCTGGGACCAGACCGGGTATTGCATCATACAATGAGTTTACTGAGAAGGTATGTGGAGCGTTGTTTGCAAGAAAGGGAATCTGTGCTGTGCATGTGTGCGAGGTATTGTGTCAGCGTGACATGTCAGCATTACATGCAAGCAGGACATTCTCTACCCGCATTCTGAGTGCATGATGTCATCGTAACATTGTACAAAGTACTACAAACGTTTTTTTTTTTTTTTTTTTTTTTTTTTTTTTTTTTTTTTTTTTTTTTTTTTTTTTTTTTTGTTGGGAAAAAAAAAAATCTTCTCTTTG